GTTGACCTGGTCGTAGGTTTGGTTGTGCTTGGTGTCTCAACATAGCCAAATTACTTCAATGCGCCCCTATGTTTACACAGTACTTGAAATGCAACACGTCACCATATTGACTGCGCGCATAAGGTACTCAATTAGATTTGTGTCTGGCATCGACAGTACAATATGCCAATAACAATAACAGAGATGAAAGTCGTGCCTCCGATATTGACTAGCGCTACGGCTACGACTGACGCCTATGTAAACTTCCTGGTTGAAACTATAGTGATACTAAAGACAAAGCAGATAGATGATTGAGTATGAACGGAAACAGTGATTCAGATACCCCACGAATCACAAGACCGAGCCTGTTTACAAACTTCATTTCCAGAGCGGGTACCTATTGATGATGCTGACCTTGAAGTATGCATCTCTGCCATGATCTGCTAATTGCACTAAAGAAAGGACGCATGACAAGACATGTAGCTTCTGTATATACATCCTCAGGACTTCTTGTGTGTCATCTGCAAGCCCGTCGCCATGAGCATTGTCGAGGTAAAAGCATTCTATTAAGTTGTCGTGTTTGCTCTGCGCACAACAGTCTTGAGACTAGTCATAGCTGCTGGAGACATTTGCAGTTTTCTGGATTTCAAGATAGCATCCCACTTCGAAGTAGACTGCCGTAACAGTGATTTTCGATATGTGACTTTGGACTACAATATGTTTTCAAAATTCGTAGCGCTTGCTGCGATGCATGTGAAGATGCTCCAGCTCGCGCGCAGCGACCAACGACGCCAAGCCCAAGGCGGCTAGCGCGACACCACCAGTGGTAAGCGAGAGTCGAAATTCAGCGAGAACATTGACGATTCGAATCTTCTCTCGCGACAACTAACCACCAGGTCAATACACAACAGCCACCATGTCGAGGCCAACCGTCACCGTCGTCTCCGCCAAGGGCGAGGCCACCAAGGACACCGTCCCCGTGCCCAATGTCTTCAAGGTTAGTTCCGCCGCAATTCGAATTCGCAATACGACGCAACCCGCAATCGGAAGGGGAGACTGAGAGAGGCCATAATGGCAGTTGGAGCAACGCACACATGGGAAGATATTTGAAAGAGCGAAGATGCGGGTGGCAGTGGGCAGTGCTCGCATTGACCTGGAATATCGCGGATTTCTTCCCATGACGTGCGGGCGTGAAATTGTTGCAAAAACTCGCATTTTCTGGGTTGCCGGCTCTCAGTCTCTTGAAGATGCACAACCTGCTTCGACGGTTCTGCTGTATCTCTGAGCAATGTTAACCATCCGTACAGGCACCCATCCGCCCTGACATCGTCCACGCGGTGCACACTGGCATGAACAAGAACCGCCGCCAGCCATACGCTGTGTAAGCCTACCTCGCATGCTGCACAATCGCTCAATCTAACAACAAGCAGCTCCGAGAAGGCTGGTCACCAAACTTCTGCCGAGTCCTGGGGTACTGGTCGCGCTGTCGCCCGTATTCCCCGTGTCTCTGGTGGAGGTACTCACCGTGCTGGTCAGGCTGCTTTCGGTAACATGTGCCGATCCGGTCGCATGTTCGCTCCCACCAAGGTCTGGCGCAAGTGGCACCAGAAGATCAACCTGAACCAGAAGCGTTTCGCTACCGCGTCTGCGCTCGCTGCTTCAGGAAGCCCTGCTCTTCTCCTTGCCCGCGGTCACGCCATCAGCACTGTCCCTGAGGTTCCCCTCGTTATCTCATCGACTGCTTTCGCCGATGCCGCTATCAAGAAGACCTCCGCTGCCGTCGCTCTGTTGAAGGCTGTCGGTGCTGGTGCCGATGTCGAGAAGGCCAAGAACTCCCGCAAGCTCCGTGCTGGTAAGGGTAAGCTCCGTGGCCGCCGCCACAAGCAGCGCCGTGGTCCTTTGGTCATCTACAACCCCGACGAGGATGGCAAGGAGCTTGTCCTTGCTTTCCGCAACATCCCAGGTGTTGAGACCTCATCCGTCTACTCCCTGAACCTCCTCCAGCTCGCCCCCGGTGGCCACCTCGGTCGCTTCATCGTCTGGACCTCATCTGCTTTCAGCGCCCTTGACAAGGTCTACGGATCCACCGCCGAGCCTTCCGCGCTCAAGAAGGACTACCTCCTCCCATCAAGCATGATGAGCCAGCCCGACCTCAGCAAGATCATCAACTCCAGCGACGTCCAGAAGGTCCTCCGCCCCGTCCGTGGTGGAGCCGTCTCCAAGCGTGGTGTCGTACAAAAGAAGAACCCGCTCAAGAACTTCCAGGTGCAGCTCCGCCTCAACCCATACGCTGCTACCTTCTCCAAGGAGAAGTTGGGCCAGAAGAAGCTCGAGGCCAGCAAGCCCGAGCCTGCTGCTGACACCTTCCTCGACCTCCTCCACGAGAACTAGATGGTTGTTGATTAGCGTTATGATTTCCTAAGGTGTTCTCTCTTCGGTTGGGATGGACTGGAATGATGAATAGCTATGAATAAATGTAGCTCTTCAAAAGTGCCTCTGAGAAGGTTTCACTTCCACTTCCACTCATGACCCCCTGTTGCTGCTCATGCTTTATGTTGAGTACAATATATGTACCTTCGTGTGACATTGTATGACCTTCCGCAATAACCAAACAGATTTCACTTGGCAACTGACTTGTGTTATTGTCAATGTTAGACAGATTTTTCGATTCTTGCACCATAAGAACATGCAGTCTTATGCTAGGGATACCCATACCCAAACGCCGTCGCTATGCTTGGCGGTACCCATGGCCGTGGCACCCAAAATAACCCAGTACTTTGAAAGGAATACAAACAGATGCCCTCACTTGAACAATCTCTTCCCGCCCGTCCTCCCCATAGTCCTCTCCACGCCTTCCAAACTCATACCCGCAAAGCCAGCACCCCCACCATCACGATCCCTTTTGTATCTCCTTAATGCCTCCCTCAAATGCGCCGGTGTAAGTGGTCCCTTATCACATGCTTTCAGCCTATCCTGCAAACCAGCATCCTTCTCCACCTCCTTCCACAAACTCTCGGACCGATCAACCTGGCCAGGATACCATCCCGCACTTGTGATATCCGAGTTGGTGGGACGATTCCTGTCGTCCTTGATATGAGCGCTTGGTCTCACCAAGCTCTGACTTAGGATGGGACCGGGTAGATTTGGGTTGGGCAAGTGAGTGCGGACGGCGGACCATTCGTCGCGGACTGTGAGGGCGCGGTCGATGAGTTCACCGATGAAAGTTTTCGAGTAGGACGTTACGGCGATAATTATAGGTTGAGGTACGGATTGGGAGAGTGTTTGATTGACGAGTTTACGGACTGTTTCGCGCTTGAGGCGAATACGGCGGTAGGTTGCGTAGCGGTCCATTTGGGCGGGGGTCATGAAGTCTTCTAGCATGCTGTTCATCGCACTGGCAATTAGTGAACTGGGCTTGGATAGCAGAAAGTTGATGGTGGAACATACCGTTCGTATTCCTTCTCTTGTTTCCTTCGTGCTTCAACACTCATGCCGCCTTCGATTTCCATACCCATCTCCTCGCCCATCTCGTCATCGTCATCGTCTTCTACTTCTCCATCGCCATCTTCATCTTCACCTCCGATTGCACTTCTTCCGTCGCCGCCTTTACCTCCTCTTATACTTGAGCCAGCCACACTACCTCCGTCTCCACCCTTCTTCCGCCGTTTCTTTCCTCCTGCGCCGTTCACGACTGATGTAGTGATGTTGCTTTCCACGGAAGGTGAGCGCGAGTATTGGCGAGGGGAACCTCCGACTGATTCAGCATCTGGCGAGAATGCGTTGCGGAGATTGGAGGGTTTGCGCTTCTTGGTGGGCGCGCCAGAGTGTGAGGATATGCTGCCGCGCTTGCGACTACCAGGGACATTGAGCTGTGGGATATGTGGTGGTGACGCCATGGTCGCGACGGCAATACGAGTGTCGTGTTCTGTTTGCGGCGTCACAGTAATGCGGGTTGTGGTGAAGACCGTCGACTGAACAATGGAACGACACTGGGGAAGTCGCGATGGCCGCCAAGCAAACGGTGCAGCGACCACTAGCGCGTTTCCTGCTCGGAAAGCGCGACCGGGATCAATTTCGTCATCGACGCTCGAGAGATGGTTAATGGCGCCTTTACTCTTACTGAGCGTCTGCGCTCTAGACTTTCACCATGTAAACCACGATATCAGCAGGCGGTCTGCCATCAACACTAATTCAAAGCAACATCTTCATCTGCTTCACTTTACGCCGTATACTCGCATCCACCAAAGAAAGAATAGAAGATGCCGTCCTACGAAGAATCATATGGCCAACAGGCCCCTCAAGCAGCAGTCACAGGTACAGGCGCAACCGATACCGACGGTGCCGTCCAAGCCCCACCTGACTCCAGATCCCCCTCTGAACTCCCACCTGCTGCCCTCGACTTAGCAGCGCGCCTCTTCGACCTCGCCCGCAGTGGGGACACATCTACCCTTTCCCAATACGTCAGCGCCGGCATCCCCAAGAACCTCACCAATGCATCCGGCGACACACTTCTCATGCTGGCATCGTACCACGGTAATGCCGAGACTGCAAAGATGCTCTTAGATAGCGGCGCCGACGCGAATGTGTTGAACGGGAGAGGCCAGAGTCCTATCGCGGGCGCCGTGTTCAAGGGATACGACGACGTTGTTAGAGTGTTATATGAGGGGGGAGCGGATGTAGAAAAGGGACAACCGAATGCTGTAGATTGCGCGAGAATGTTCAAGAGAGGGAACTGCTTGAAGTTATTTGGCGTGGAAGAGGGGGAAGGCACCGTGGTAGACGTGGATGCACACGCGACGTCGTAGTGTAGAGATCCTCCATGCCAACGTCTTGATGACATGAGGGAGGTTTTCCTGCAAGCCTACGAACGATGCAACAACGACTAGGGAGTATATATGTATTACTACGGAAGATAAATTCCAAGCATAAAACTACGAAACCCAGCGCAAAACTGTTCAGTTTGATCTGCCTAAAGTAAAAATCCTATGGATCGTGGTATCATGTCACCTGCCTCTACCTCTCTACTTCTTCTGCTCTCCCTTACCACCACCAAACATGCCTCCAATGTAACCCCCAGCGCTCTTCGCGCCTCCTGCAACACTGCTCGCACCACCCTTCACTCCATCCGCAGCACTCTGGCCATAGCCACCCAGTGGGCCTTGTCCCTCGATGGGCTTGCCTTGTTCATCCTTGCCGCCGCGTTCAGCACGATTGATACCCTCTTTGGAGACGGCGTCACCGAGGGGTTGTGCGATTCCTCCTTTGCCAACTTGGCCGCCGACGAGGCCGTTCACACCGTCTTGGAGGTTGTCGACCTGGGATACGCCTGTGACTTTGGTCTTGTCGAGGTTCTCTTTAGGCGATGTGTTAGGGACATGTGATATGGCAAGACGAGATTAAACTAGAATAGACGTACGTTTGGTAGCGTAAGAAGCCTTGTTATCCTTGGTGAACCACTTCAGGTACTGATCCTCGATCCATGGCATCCATGTCTCGTACTTCTGGTTGTAGTACTCCCCTGCAGCCTCCTTGTAGGTTTTTTGTGATCCTTTGTTTTGGTCTGTCATTTTGGGAATGTTGCTTTGTGTTGATTGTATTCAAGGTAAAGATAGCAATGTAAACTGTCCGTGGGGTTCGCTCAGGTTGTGCGTATTTGCATGTGCAAGTCAACACCCAGATCGGGCAGCCGACATATATACTCCACTTGCACGTCCTGTGTGTACGCCATTTGCGCCAGCAGTGATCTCATCCTCGATCACTTGCACCGTGCTCGTTACAAGTTTGTGGCCCGCTGTGGTGGCACATAGACAGGGTTATTGCGCAAGATGGTGTTGCGCTATACGTCATCTGAGCCATGAAATCGAGGCCAACTGATCGTCCCGCGTGGAAACCTGCACATCAGACGTATCTCTTGGCTGGATGTCCGCCATTCAAGCATCCAGACAGGGCCAAGGGCGTCTAGACCTTGGAACTGGATGTCTGGTGCGCTTGGTATGATTGGTTGATGGAATCTAAGATTGTGTTGATTGGATTCGGTGCGATTAGACATGTGAAGCGAAGCTAGCAGCAGGCCGCGCAGTTGGAACTCACGACAACCACATCCATGCCATGAGAGCAACTGCACGCGTGTCGAGCACAATGTTGGAGTTTCACGCGAACTACTGCTTCGAGAGAGATTCTTAAAGTGTAGTGAATAGCCGAGATGAAGGCTAAACAGTAGACACAAACGAGTCGCGACACCACAGCGCGATCCCGCATAGTCATAGTTGGAATCCGTGCGAAATAGTGCACTGCGTACCCAGAGCTTTTTGATGCTCGAAACAGAGTCCAGCTTGATCTAGACTACTTCTCGGTACGTTTCGAAGCGATTCTCACATTACATCCTTGGAGCGGTAACTTCCGAGCGCTTTTCTGATCTCATACTTGCGTTCTCGTCTCCGTCACTTGTTACCGCTTGCTGAAGAGCTAATGTTTACTGCCGGTTCATTTCTTGTTAAAAACACTTCTGTGCATGCCCTGGTTGAGAGAAGAGAGGCATGGGGTGATGTGCCACACGGAGCATTCGGACGTGGAACCGAGTAAGACTTCTTAATTGCACGGGCTACAAGGTTCTGTCGAAGCTCATGGTGGTCGAAGTACATCAGAGGAATCTCATCTTCTCGTGTTCACCTAGCATCAGTACTATTTCATTTGAGTTGTCCACGTTTATGTCCGTATTTTTGTTTGAGTGAGACGCATTCGTTTACTCTTACACTATTGTAGTTGTGCCATCAACGGTGCCTTGAGCCCGCCTCATACATCTTGTTCAGGTATCTGTGTACTGGTATGTTCTCCTTTGTGCTTTCCTCACTCACTGTTGGTTTCACACCGCTCCTACAAAACAGCGCTTCTTCGTACCTACCCGCGAAGTAGTTCTTGGCGCCCCTCATATCCTTCTTTCACGCAATCGCCCACTCGATCTATTATAGTTCACCTAATTCATATTATTCCGCCGTCAGTAAGACCCATCGTTTTCATAGCCAAACAACCCAATTGAATATATAGACTTCCTCGAAATGGCTCCGCAGCGAGGATCGAAGAAGCCTGTCACTACGCTCGTTTCCATGCTGCCCAAGACCACCTACAATGAAACAGACGAGGCAGAGGGTACCGTAAGAAGCCTGGCGTATATCAGAATACAGCTCCAACTGCTGCAGTGGTTAGGCCTTCATGCATCCGATACACTCACTGTCCGACAAGCTTACTACTGGACGGAAAATATAGCGGAAGACAAGCATCCACAAGCCAAAGATGCACTACGCCTATGCTACTACATGCGTTCTCAGGGCTTCGACACTTATGCAAAATTCCAGAAAAGCAAAATGAGCCTATATATAGCCAGTCAGCCTACTGAAGTTACAAGTCCGAAGTCCGATCGGCTATATTGGTGCCAGGATCATTTGACCAACGAGGTCGTTCACGAACTAGGTACCGTACCTGTATCCTCTGGAGCTCGGGGAGGAAGACGCAACGCTTTCTCATTGGACTCCACTCAACACGCAATCCAGAGGCTCCAAGCTACCGTGGATGCAGTTATCGCAGCAGGCACTGATATTGCTCGAGCGCAATCCAGAAATACCCTTGCTGCTGCCGCCGGCCAAGATGAACATGGAGAAGACACAGGGGATAACGCCGGTACTGTGTCGGAAGGTAACGCAGGACGAGAGAACGAAAACGACCAACCGACCATGGGCTCTCTTGCAGCACGCATCGCTGTTGCAAGAGCAGATTTGGAGACTTTGCTATTCTCTGATCCTCCTGACACAGGGTAGGTCATCACCCTTATCCCAAAAGCATGATATAACATAAAACCTAGTGCCATTGCCGCTGCTATCGCACGTGTGGCAGAGCTAAACAGCCAGGAGAACTAGATGATGTGCAAGTGCTCATGTTGGAAAGATGATGAAATGATAATTATGCCTGAATAGTAATTGAATGACTTCAAAGCTGTTATAGAGTGGACTTATTATTCTGGAGATATGTGCAGTAACCTACATTGATAACATCAGCGGAAATTCTTGAAGACTATGCTATGCCTCTCCATTTTGGCGCCTCTGACACGAGTTTGGTATATAAATCATCCGATTCAACTCTCGCATCCATTGTACGTTCCAGAACTTGGCTATTCAATACCAAAAATGACTTGACTGGGGCTCATGGCTGGTGCGTGCTCTTCCAAAGTTTGGTAGACTGCCATCATGTTCCACTGTCGCGGCACAGAGAAATAACGAGATCGAACGCTACTTGCCTGCTCAGATACTTGTCATGTCCGAAGCAGTTTTCTGAAAGTACTGAAATTGTCTGTCATGTGCAAGGGCACGCCCATGCTAGGACTGACGCTGTAGCAGTGCAATGCGATGGTTTACTTGTAGTGTAACAGTGTTGCTATCAATGTGGTTCAAATTCGAGTCGACGCCGATGAGTAAAGCGCTGTAAAGATGCAAAGGCAATACCTGCGCACGTGAATCATCATGAAATCTGATGATGGCGAGTGTCCAATGACCAGTAGTGTGCGTGCGGAACATGGAGGAGAAGCCGGGCAGTCCCACAGTGACCATGACTAAAGTATGATGCTGTAATGTCACGCGACAACATCATGACTGGTAAACAACAAATACGGCCTTGAGCGGCGAAGTGTTATCGCAACCTCACGACGACGGATATTTTGGTGTACCACACGTTCCTGGCTCTTGCTCGAGAATGCGATCCAGGCGTTGCGCTAGAGCTTCGCGCATTGTTTACGAATAGAAATAGTGGTCAAGCACGGGCGTATCGCGGACCGCTGTCTGCAGCCAGCCACAGGCGCGGTACCAATGACATGGAGGGCAATTCGCGTAGCACGAAAAGCGTTGGACCTGCGTTCGTTGGACTCCACTTCGAAATTACACGTTCAACACGCAAATGCTGCGGGGAAAACGTCGAATTCCCATGGGGGAGCGCTGGGGCCAGAAGACAGAATAATCAATAGAAAAAAGGAAGACATGTAGAAGAACGATATCCCCAGATGATATGTCGATGCAGGTATGCGCTAGCTGCAGCGCTTCATGCAGATCAGTTCAAGCGAGAGGTTGGGTCCGTCCGGTACATCCGCCTTGCCACGGATATCAGAATTGTCGCGTTTGATTCGTGTCGAATAGAGCAGAAAGCGAGACGGAAAGGGCTGCACTGTTTGCGGCTGCTGCGATGGGCAAAAAGTGGTCAAGAGCTTACCGGTGGGCAGCCTTGCAAGCCACCAGGGCACCGGAGAGCTCTGGCTGGCTGTCAGAAATGATGGTAGCCTAGCCTGGTGACAACAAAGACGCGTAGAGTCACGCTGGGACTGGGAGTTGTATGTCGTGTACTGAATGCACAGAGTGCTGTCGCGAAATCGACGCGACGACGAATGCGATCATCGTATATGATTATGAGTAGGTGGAGAAGTGGAGATGTTGGAAGTTGGTCTTTGAGCAGGCGCGTTGGTGCGTACACATGAGGCGGTGATGGATCCGGCTAGCGCAGAGGCCACATTGCTTGCAAAGGCAGTCGCGACCGGCGCAGTTCATCGCACCACGCCCGATAAGCATCAAAATATGTCTCGCACTCGGTAGACGACCTGGACAGTGAGGATATGCACTCTGTTTGTACATGCATCACTCTGGCCGGCGCCGTTGATGTTGCAAAAATTTCCCTCTACTCCCTGAAACGGGACGCTCGGGCCACAGCACTAGCCCGTTCCTGGTGATGATCCAGCCTACTTAATGACCTGTTCATTCTCTTAGATAGGCCCGCAGCCCACCTTCTCCGAACGCGCTCCCGTCACCGCATCGAGTTACCACTCCGTCACGTGACTCGCATACACACCTCTGACTACATAGCCCAACATCATTTGCCGTGCTCAGTGCTTCAATGGCCACGCCTGCGGGCGCCTAGTAATTTCTAATTCTTCCGGTTGCGCTCCACTTGCGAGCCTGGCTGTTCATCCTGCGGCGCAAACATGAGGTATGTCGCATATCGCATCGATGCATGCATGACGCGCTAACGCTTTGATAGTGCCACCAGATTGGACCGTCTCGTAACGTAAGTATACCCGGTCGCAACATCTTGCATGCTCTTCGCAACTTGATACACTGCAGTTGCAGTCTTTTGCGACAGGTTTATCTCGCCTCGACAGCCTTGCCTTACTCGACACTTTCTGACTCTCGCTAACCCACGCCAAGGCTCCTCGAGACTGGCAGCACAGCATTAATCCGAAACACAGCAGCTGACCAGCTCGCCGACGTTCAAAAACAACATCCCGATGAACTTTTTAATCTTCTTACTCGAGTCATTCCCTACCTGCGATCCAAAAGCTGGGAAACTCGAGTTGCTGCTGCCAAGGCTATAGGAGGCATCGCCGCCAATGCCGACAAATTCGACCCCAATGCAGAGGATCCTGAGGGGCCTGTCAAATCGGAAGGCCAGTCAAATTCAAATGGCGATATCAAGTCTGAGGATACCAACGGCGCGTCGGTCAAGAAGGAAGAGAATGGCGATAGCGCTCTACCACCACTCACCGACGGGCTCGATCTTGCTACACTTGACTTGCCTTCCATCCTCAAGTTTGGCAAAGTCCTAGCTTCTCTCGGAACAAAGGAGCATGATTACAAGCTTGCAGCCATGGACCCTGCTGAACGACTAGAGTACCAAAAGAGTACCCTGCTCAAGCGTCTCGGCTTCGAAGGCGCATGGGTTGAGGACCTTACACCACCACAAGAGCTGATGCCGCAAACGCCGGCCCCCAAAACACCTGCTATAAATCGCATCGACACCAATGTTTCACGATCAGATAGCATGAACAATGCCAGTTCTCCTACTGCAGGCACACCTGATGGTAAAGGGCTTAGCAAGCGTCAACAAAATGCCCTGCGGCGCAAGAACAAGAGGCAAGCTGCCGGAGGTACTAACAAAGTACAAGTCGTCGACTTCAACTCAAATTCACGAAAAGACTCGCAACCAGACCTTGTTGAGACGCCGGTACGCCCACACCCCGTGGCCCTCAAATTTGAGAAATCGGAGAACGGCGACGAAGACGAACCCATGAACGACTACTTCTCACTTGAGCGCAATGGTGGGGACGACGATGCGAAATTCGTCAAAGAGTTCAAGGGCGCGCCAGTGGCAGAGAAGTCATCGTTCCAGACTGAGGCTGAAGAGGCCGGGTTGGAATGGCCATTCGAGCGCGTGTGTGCGTATCTCTCTGTTGAGTTATTTGACTACACTTGGGAGGTACGTCATGGTGCCGCAATGGGTCTTAGAGAGATTCTTCGTATCCACGGCGGTGGTGCTGGCAGACGGAAGGGTCTAAGTCGGACTGAGAATGATCGGCTCAACCAGCGATGGCTCAACGATTTAGCATGTCGCATGATCTGCATCTTCATGCTTGACCGCTTTGCGGACTTCACTGGCGATAATGCCATTGCGCCCATTCGCGAGACGGCTGGACAAGCCCTTGGTTCATTGCTGCAATACATGTCTCGCGACAACGTTCTCGCAACATTTCAGGTCCTCAACCGCCTGATCATCAATCACAACCTTCCCCTCGACACTAACCCTCTAAGCGCACCATGGGCTTTGTGTCAAGGTGGTATGATTGGTTTACGGTATCTTGTCGCCGTTAGGAACGATCTGCTCCTAGAAGATGGTACTTTATTGGATGGGGTACTCGCTGCAGTTATCAGCGGTTTAAGCAATTCCGACGACGATGTTCGAGCAATCAGTGCAGCGACTCTTATCCCGGTCGCTAAGGAGTTCATCGAGATGCGCCCCAAATCACTCGAAGGGTTGATGAACGTAGTCTGGTCGTGTCTCTCCAGCTTACAAGATGACCTGAGCGCGAGCACTGGTTTCATCATGGATTTGCTGGCGAAGCTTTGTGGCTTTCCTCAAGTCTTAGAAGCCATGCAAGCCAACGCACGACAGGACCCAAGTCAATCATTCCACGAACTGGTGCCTCGACTCTTCCCATTCCTACGCCATACAATCACCAGTGTTCGCGCGGCGGTATTGCGTGCTCTGATTACTTTCCTCAATATCCAGAGCGAAGGTGCAGACAGTTGGGTAGACAGCAAGGCATTACAGCTTGTTTTCCAGAACATCCTGCTCGAACGCAATGAGGGCGTATTGAAGCTCTCTCTCCAGCTTTGGAACGCTATCGTGGAGGCCCTGGGTAGCCAGCTGGCCACTCATATGGAGCCCATACTAGATGCTGTGATCCCCCTCACCCTGACGCCCATCGGAGTTTCTCGTCATCCGATATCGTTGAATAAGTCACTACTCATCAAACCTTCTGGGCAAGCCATGGGCCCACCACCAGACTCTGAGCCGAGTCGTAAATCATCTCCGCCAGATGCTGGTGAGCCGGCTCGGAAGAGGAAGAAGTCTCGCCACGGAAAGGACGACATGTCAACGCCTACTCCAACTTCCCAAAGTCACAACGTCGATGGTCATATGATTACTGGCGATCTTGAACTCATTGGAGCGGACGTGATGATTCGCTCTAGGACCTCCGCAGCACAGGCTCTTGGCAAAGCGATGGGAGCGTGGCCTGAGGAACTGAGGTTGGCGGCCTTCAAATCTAGACTATTGAAGCCTCTCTCTTCTCCCAACGCGTCAACCCAATTGACGGGCGCGATCATCATCGAGGAGTTCGGAAAGAATTTGGCGACCAAAGATGCCTTGGCTGAATCGTTCGTTCAGGCCCTCATACCTATCGTCGAAGGCGAAAGACCAGCCGCCTACGAGGATCTTGTGCCGAAACTACAAATCGTTCGAACACAGTGTCACTCTTTGCTGAGCATCTTCCACGAAGCACATGTGCAAAATCTGCCAACGATTGCTGCTCTTGTCCAGGGCATGCCAAATGCGAACCACTATGCTTTTGGTGTCGCCGACGCCGAGAAGCTGCTCAATGTGCAGTATGAGAAACTCAAGAAGGGAATGACGCCGTCAGCCCGCATGGTTGCCGGAACGAACCTGGAAACAGCACGCAAGGAGGTAGAATCGAGTATCCAAGAGGCCAAGGACATCAAGGAAGAGCGCGATGTCCGTATCAAGGCTGCTGCAGCCGGTGCACTGGTGGCGCTCAACTCACCCCCAAGGAAGCCATCCCCACCAATCAAGGCTATGATGGACAGCGTCAAGAAGGAAGAGAACGTCGAGCTACAGAAACGCTCAGCGGCTGCTGTTGCGGGCTACATCGTCTTTTTGGTCAACGCGAAGAGATCTGGCGTAGTTAACAAAGTTGTCGGAAACTTGGTCAAGTTTTACTGCATGGAAACAGCTGAAACACCCGAGTTTGCCGGACAGTCACATATCGAAACAGGCATTCTTACTCTCAAGAAGGATGAAGACGTGCGCGACCACCCGGACGCTGCTCGCTTTGCAGAGGAGTCACGAGCCGCCAGGATCACCAAGCGTGGTGCACGAGAGGGTTTGGAGAAGGTTGTCGAGAGTTTCGGCGCTGAGATCTTCGAGAAGGTCCCCATCCTCAAGGACCTGATTGAACGACCCATCAAGGATGCTTTTACCGAGGCCACTCTTCCAGCGCACATTTTCAACGAAGATGGTGTCTTTGGCCAGGAAGTCGTTGATGCTTTGTCGACTCTACGTGCCCTGGTCGGTAGCTTCCACCCAAGTGTTAGAGGCTTTGTCAAGGATCTGCTTCCACTCATTGCAAAGGCTCTCCAGAGCAAGCTGTACGTTTTGCGGTATGCAGCTGCCAAGTGCTTCGCTACCATCTGCAGCGTCATGTCTGTGGAAGGTGTGACGATGCTTGTCGAGAACGTTCTACCGACCATCAGCGATGGTGGCAACGTGCACGCCCGCCAAGGAGCCATCGAGTGCATCTACCATCTCATTCATGTCATGGAAGACGCCATTCTACCATACGTCATCTTCCTTATCACCCCTGTTCTTGGTCGTATGAGCGACTCAGACAACGATGTACGGTTGCTTGCTACAACCAGTTTTGCCACACTGGTCAAGCTCGTACCGCTTGAGTCTGGTATCCCTGACCCACCAGGTCTTCCAGACTCTCTCCTCAAGGGCCGAGACCGAGAACGAAAATTCGTTGCTCAGATGCTCGATGCGAAGAAGGTGGAGCCTTTCGAAATTCCTGTCGGTATCAAGGCGACGCTCCGTTCATACCAACAGGAAGGTGTCAACTGGTTGGCCTTCCTCAACCGTTACAACCTTCACGGTATTCTTTGCGACGACATGGGTCTCGGTAAAACATTACAAACACTGTGTATGGTGGCTAGTGATCATCACATACGCGCAGACGAGTTTGCAAAAACTGGCGATCCAAACTTCCGACGCCTGCCATCTCTCATCGTATGTCCGCCTACACTGTCTGGTCATTGGCAGCAGGAGATCCGGCAATATGCACCCTTCCTCAGTTGCGTCGCTTACGTTGGTTCTCCACCCATTCGTGGTCAGCACAGGAACCAGCTCGACAAGGTGGACATCGTCATTACTTCGTACGATATTTGTAGGAACGATGCGGACATTCTTAAGCCCATTACCTGGAATTACTGCGTACTTGACGAAGGTCATCTGATTAAGAATTCCAAGTCGAAGACCAGCCAGGCCGTCAAGCAGTTCCAGTCAAACCATCGTCTCATTCTCTCCGGTACACCCATTCAGAATAATGTGCTCGAGCTCTGGTCACTCTTCGATTTCCTCATGCCCGGTTTTCTCGGTACCGAGAAGGTCTTCCAGGAGCGTTTCGCAAAGCCCATCGCTGCCTCCAGATTCGCCAAGAGCTCGTCGAAGGAGCAAGAAAGAGGTGCGCTTGCAATCGAAGCTCTACACAAGCAAGTGCTCCCATTCCTTCTTCGTCGTCTCAAGGAGGAAGTACTCGATGACCTGCCACCCAAGATTCTGCAGAATTACTACTGTGATCTATCTGAATTGCAACGTAATCTCTTCGACGACTTCACTAAGCGCCAGGGCAAGGAGATTCAGTCCAAGGCCGGCAACGCCGATCGTGAGAGCAAGCAACATATCTTCCAGGCTCTACAGTACATGAAGAAGCTATGCAATTCGCCTTCACTCGTTGTCAAGGGTCCTACCAACAAAGCTTATGAGCCTACCCAGCAGTATCTCAAGAAGCACAACACCACGATCGACGACATCATGCACGCACCCAAACTAGGCGCCCTCAAGGATTTGCTTGTCGACTGCGGTATCGGTGCATCTGACGTTGTTAGTGACAAGTCTGCCGCCGCTAATGGCGACCTACCAGAAGCTGTCTCTCAGCATCGCGCCCTCGTCTTCTGTCAAATGAAGGAGATGCTGGATATGGTCCAGCATAACGTACTCGAAAAGCTTCTTCCTTCTGTGCAGTTCATGCGTCTCGATGGTGGTGTCGAGGCTACCAAACGCCAGGAGATTGTCAACAAATTCAATACGGATCCCTCGTACGATGTTTTGCTCCTGACAACCAGTGTCGGTGGTCTAGGTCTCAATTTGACTGGTGCCGATACCGTCATCTTCGTCGAGCACGATTGGAATCCACAGAAAGACATTCAAGCTATGGACCGCGCCCATCGTATCGGTCAGAAGAAGGTCGTGAACGTGTACCGAATCGTGACGCGGGGCACCTTGGAAGAAAAGATCTTGAAGTAAGTATTTCAAAACCCCAATAACCAAGAAGTCCTTCTAACTAATTCTTCCAGTCTCCAACGCTTCAAGATTGACGTAGCTTCCACAGTCGTGAACCAGCAAAACGCCGGTCTACAATCCATGCAAACGGATCAAATTCTCGATCTCTTCAACGTCTCCGCCGACTCCAACGACCCTGCCGCACTACCGGCGCCACCCAGCAATGCAAAGGACGACGGCACGGGTATCGATGAAAATGATGCTGTGGACGCGACGGGTGCGCTGAGAGAGAAGGGCAAGAAGGGCTTCTTGGATGAGCTCGGAGATCTGTGGGACGAGAAGCAGTACGAGGAGGAGTTCGACCTCGATGGCTTCCTTGGCAAGATGAAGACATGAAGCAGCATCGGTTGAGCATGTTGACAGTCATTTGGCTTGAATATGCTCTTTTCGCGACCACTCAATGTCCACCTACCAGGTTGGGCATATTATTTCAGGTTCAACAGGCGTACATTGGTGTTTCTTTTCGGGCATCGCGGTATAGCATGTAGGATGTTGGCATGTTATTGATCAGGACAGGCATAGTTTTTGTACTCACAGGCTACGACCGTGGAAGCGTGTGTATTAGCATGGCGTTGGTTAGGAACTTTGTCATCTTTGTATCCTTGCTCCTGTCGTAGGAGCTTGGAAGGCACGTGTGTTTGTGTGCGTCTAGCCTGTGCGAGTACGGTGTGAATATACTGAAAGGTTGTTACAAACACATGGTACTTGACCACGTGGAAACTAAGTAGTGATAGAAACACTGAAGTATCGCGATGTGTTATGTCACGTCATGGGGAAACTCATCTTGGTGAACACTGGCCGTGTAACTTGCGAACAACTCGCCACGTCTTCTCGAGCCTACCTAGACATTGAAGTCTTGTCTTCGTGACAAGATCGCTCTCTTCCCACCAAGTGTCCCTTCGTGTGTCTCCAGGATGTGATGAACGCAGCAAGCATAATACATCGCAACGCTCATGATGGAAAGCAATACCTTGGCGCGTTCAGCTGCCGCTATTGCTCCTACCCAATCTCTGTCGATAGTCACAAGACCTATAGATGAGTGACAAATCTTCCCAGGATCCTACCAACACAAAGAAGCTTCCGGTAACAAGCAAACTTTCCCGCCTAGGTTTGTGATAGATTGCCACACTGCTGATCCCGACGACTGGATCATTAAATCCTCCCCGATCCCCATAGTCGAATCGGATCCATGCACCACTAACTTCACAATAGCATTTCTTTCTAGCACCGGCTGCTGACCCTCGTCCACGACAGAATACCCTCCAAGTTTGGTGTGAACGACATAACCGTAGCGGATGGATCGGTGACCTTCAATTTTGAAAGCATGCAGCATAGATCGCATGCTAAAGGGCCTATATCGTGACGCTTGCGGGATCATTAGCCCGTTTCTTTTCGATAAACAATGAACGAAGTCTATATGATGATTGTTAAGGGCGAGGTAAGAAGTCCGCTCAATATCATGGTACAGTAGCTGTGTCGGAGCTGTGGTGATGGAAGCTCTTGTTGCGCGTCTAGACGCTTCGTCCATTCTATTGAGCAGAGTCAAGGACACTCGCGCTTTGAAACTGGCTGACAGAAATAAAGTGGGCCCATCGAGGGCTTCTGGTGGCAAGTTGTGGTACCCTGTATCATATAATTCGGGGTCGGATTTCGACCAGTGCGCTTTGATGATTAACTGTTATCTTGTTCGGTACACGGGCCGTAACACGAATGAGGTGTAAACTTTGTGAACAAAAAAGTGTGCTGTACCTTCTTAGTCGCGGCTAAAAACAGTTGCTTAGTATTAAAGTTGATCCAGTCATGGCTGTGCGGATTTGAAAAGCGCAAAATGTTGCTAAATGTTCACTCACGAAAATCCCGTCAACAACCCGGGATTGGTGGTCGGAGACGAGCTTAGGCACGATGACCCATGGCATAGCAAGATTCTACCGTGAAAGAGTGCTCGCGGAATCTCTATCACCATATGGTATAGAAGAAACCTCTTTGTCATGGTAACAAGCAACGGTGGTTCCAATTCTGGGCAGATACAAAGTTCCTTGTTGTAGGAGGTGTGAACCGGGTAATATTCAGCATGCAAAGATCTCATCTTCTCTCGAACCTTATGAGCGATAGCAACATAGCTTCTAGGAGCTATGTCCTTAGCTCGAAAGCTTTGCCACCCAGACGTCTTCCATACCATATGGAATGCGTGGATAGCAATACCTCTCAGGCCATGGGCAGTAGATCGTTCATACTTACGACACCAGAATAGAGGTGGCAGTTATAAGAGCTCCGGCCATAGGCGATAGACTGAGCCCTGAGGAATTCCTGTTGGTGTGTTCCTTTGGTGGTGTAACGGATGCAGAGGGTGCGCCGAAAGGTTGTGAAGTGCACATGGGCCGGAGATCCCCATGCCGCAGCGTTACATGACCCAAGATCCGAGCAGATGCGACCAGCAGTGAGTATCAGTCTACGAACGTAGAGCTAGTGGGCTGGTGGAGAGGTGCGAAGGTAGGTGAAGATCTAAGAACGTGTGCTCATTCACTGTCAAAAAGGCAGCGATGGCAGGAGCATGCAATCAGAGCCAGATCAAATGCCGACTGATGTTTAGGCGATAGTGTGGGTCTCTCGTCTTCGCGAGCCGAGCTGAGCACACCAATCGCAAGCTGCACGCCTCATGGTTTCATTCCCGACGTCGAATGACTGACCGCCTTATCTCGCTCCGATAAAGCCGCTCTATCATCAGCCTGATAGTCGTGCGCTTCGATATGATCGGCATTGATTATGTGGCAGCGGAGAATGCAGTCAGAAGGATCTCCTGGACGTTGTCGCCGATGCCCACCGGAGTCTTCCCGGCTGAATGCAAGTGAGCGGCACATGCAAATGAAAGCGAGGCGGTCAAGATACATCGCAGTCGAAACGAGTGCAGCACACTATTGTGTGCGTGGCCGTGAAGGCTGAAGCGCGAGGAAAAAGAGCAATTTGGCTAACGGAACACAACATCAACAATGACGAAATGCGGAGATCGTATCGTGAAGTACGACCGGCGTAAAGACGCTGGAGGTGAGGCCGAAATGAAAGTCGAGCTGGACAAGGCGTAGTGGATACGAAAGGGGACAGCGCAGAAGCCAGCTAGGCCGTATTCGTAAGCGCCTAATGCTTAGTCTCCACTCCTCGGCAGGCTGGCCTCACCAATGTTTTCGTCGATTCTGGGGCCACGGCACCTTGCACAAAGGACCGTCCGGTCGTGCAAAGCCGGCACCGGCGTGAAGACAGCGCAAAGAGCATCTGGTGACATTTTTTTGCAAACGACAAGGCCGAAAGACATGTTTCGCTGAGGCAAGCTGACGCGCACGTGAAAAGCGCTGTGGGATGTTTGCAAAACTAAACAAAAAGCTGACGCACCCTGCAGGTTCTGCAACACTGACATGCTATAAACACTATTTCGGGATAAGGATCTCCAGAGGCTTTGCTGGAAGCCCCATGCCCTGGTGGAGAACCTCTGTTCAACGGGCAGCACGATAAGGACGCCCCTGAAGATACCCTGTTAGGATCGCCACTTAGAGCTCAAAGGCGCACCGAGCAGAGGCCGTCGAAACAAACGTGCCTTGCGATCCTCTCAAAATGGCAGTGTTGTGTTCTTCCGCCTATAGCGCGTAATTAGAACAACAACCGCCGGTCTGGGGTTATGGGCCTGGGTGCAGCAAGACAGCATTAGCAGACTCTCGACTGAGCGACCAACGCAAGCCGTTCATTTCTGCAACACGAGAAGCCACCGCAACCCTCCACAGCCAACCTGCCGATCTGGTCTTAGCACCAGGTACGCACGTCCTGCGAGTGGCCAGCGGGGCGGCATGCCAGCTTGGTTCCTGCATTAGCCCTGACATCCGCCAGACCACTTGCAGCGCCCAGATGCTTCCGCCCCTGTTGCGCCGTCCTGGTCCCCCCTTTCAGTGGCCACTTGTTTCCGGTCCGCGCTACCGTGCTGTAATCTCCCTACGGTATATATCATAGCAGCGTGGTCGCCTTGCTGTTTTTCTTCACTTCACAGCCAAACTTTCGAGCTTCAAGTCCTTTGACCTTCGAGTCGTCCATTCGTTGTTACCAACTAATACTATCATTAATAATACACACTCGCCAACTCTCTCAACCACCTCCACCTCCACCAACCAACACTTCCAACTTTACCGTTTCAAGTTCTAAATACCATCAAAATGCGTTACTCATTCGCCGTCGCTGCCTTTGCTGGCCTTGCCGCCGCCGTTCCCCAATACGGTGCCTACCCCGCTGCCCCAGCCAGCACTCCCGCTGCCCCGGCTTACCCTGCCTACCCTGCTGAGCCCTCCTCTGCTGCTCCCGCCTACCCTGCGTACCCAGCTGAGCCCTCCACTCCCGCTGCTGAGTACCCCGCCTCCAGCGCTACTCCTGAGGCCTCCAAGCCCGCTGAGTACCCCGCTGGAACTCCTTCCAAGCCTGCTGAGTACCCCGCTGGAACTCCTTCCAAGCCTGCTGAGTACCCAGCTGAGACTCCCTCCAAGCCTGCTGAGTACCCCGTCGAGTCCACCAAGACTCCTGAGGTTCCCGAGCACGCCACCTCTGAGGTTCCCTCTTACCCTGCCTCCTCCATGACCCCTGAGGTCCCCGAGGCTGAGACCACCTCTTGCTTGAGCTCCACCACCATCACCGTCACTGTCCCCTACCCCACCGGTACCCCCGTCGTTCCCGGTGCTGGCAAGCCTTCCGGTACCCCCATGGTCCCTGGTGCTCCCCAGCCTTCCGGCGGTGCTCCTTACCCATCCGTCCCCGTCGGCGGTGCTCCCTACCCCTCTGTCCCTGCTGGCACTGGTGCTCCTCCCGCTGGCACTGGCTACCCCACCAAGACCGGTGGCTACGTCAAGCCTTCCACCCCTGCTGAGTTCACTGGTGCTGCCTCTGCTCTCAACGTCGGTGGCTTCGTTGCCGGTGTTGGTGCTTTCGCTGCCTTCTTCTTGTAAATGTCATAACATTCAATTGAGCGTGCCCACAGGCAAGCTATGACTTTACATGATACATTGCATTGGGGATTGAAATTCACTGTAAATATCCTTGGTGTCGGAAAGGGTAATTGTAATTAGTCTGCGGATGGTGTTGTTGAAATTGAACTTGAAAAAAAAACCTCTGTGCTTCTCTTGCTTGTGAACTTCATTTACCAATCGCTCACATGCTCTACTTATCATATGCGCCCGACGTGTGTTTCCAATGCTCATAGTCACGCTGACAGTGAATGAGCTGCAGCTAGCTATCAACACTGAAATATTATTACGTGCGCTCATCTGTGGCAACATATTGTTATCCCGTATCGCACGGCGTAAGGCCGCATTCAACGTAGTGTGCTTGTAGTCGCAGGCAAGACATGGACACGGCGTCCTAGCCAGGGTCAGTCTGTGTTTTTTCGCTCTGGCTTACCGGCGCATGGCTACCATGGGACTGGGTCGCCGCGGAACACGAGTACAGCAAGTGGACATGAGGCTGGCTCGCATGAGAGTCTCGTGGTAATGGCACAGCATTAGATGCGGTGACATAACCTCAGGAACCAGGAAGGCTGTTGTAGAGCGCAATGCGGCCCATCTTTTGCTGCACACTCACTAGAGACACACCACGGCCGCGCCATTCCTTCTCTTCTGGCACCGACATGAGTAACTGCTCATTTCAGCCAGTCACAGTTGAGTATTGTGGGAAGTTTCCAATGGGTAGCTTGGTAGCTATGTTTGGACTACGAACTAATTTTCGATAGCTAAGGTGGTTTCATTAAGCGTAGACCGTCGCTGCGAACGCCACCTCTATACCTCTTGGAGGTTGCCTGAGGCCGAGGGCAGCAGGCATCAAACGGGCACTAGACGTTAGGCTTGTTTCTTTCTCGGGGTCTCGAGTCGTTCGCGCGAATCTATGATATGGATGCAGGTGTTGCAGCGCTACCATGGAATACAGAACACTAAACACGCCCCGCCGATTGCGTCCGAAGAAGTGCCCACTTTAAGCTGAGCATACCATGACTGCTTTAAAAGTGAAAATGCCGATATCAAGCTGCACAGAAGACGCCTTGAACAGTCTTGGGAAAGCTTACTCGATGCCCACGTTGACGGGTAGAAAGGTGGGGTTCCGACAACCTTTACTGTATGAAACAGCCATCGGCTAATAGTCTCTCAATACGCTTTTCAGGCCTCTCTGACTTTAGTAAAGCGAAAGCAGAGTCAAGACAGTCGTTCCTGAATACAGAGCTTACTTGGCTAGCTACGTCTCACGTACAAGGCTATCGAGCCGTGCCTGGCGTCTCTAGCAAATCGCAGGAGTTGGAGATGTGAGCGAGGAAGCTGTTCTTGGAAACAAGTGAGGCTCGCTTGTCAGCTTGCCTGTCACCCATGAGGCTTTTCATCATCTGAAGGGGTAGTCGAGAGTGACAATCGTTACGCGAATGTTAGATTATCGTTGCCAATGTGCGCCAGTCTGGCGATGACAAGCTGAGTTAATGGTATCAAACAGAGAAGTATAAAGAGAGTGATTGGCCTCTACAAATGATATACGCTCTCTTTGTGGTTCGCAAGCCATAGAACATCTCTTGATCCATCTCCAAAAGTTGTCGAATCAACGTCAGCCATTTTGCCATGAAGACCTTCACGCTTGCCTCAGCCTTCCTGGCTACAGCACTCGCTGCACCAGCTACACTTGCACCAAGCGATATCACACCACGCACCCTGAGCGTCCTGAAGAACTTCGCAAAATGTCCAGCAAACCCTGCACAACCTGACGGCAGGTTACCCAAAGGAAACAGCATCTCAACCTCAGTACTCGTCCCCATATCTGCCAAGAACCCCGACAAAGCATACCCATCCACGGAATGGGCGACCGTAACTCCCAAAGATAAATGCACAATCTTCAATCTCGAGCTCGACTCTGACACCACCCAAGGCAAGATCTGCAATCTTGTCTTCGACTTTCCTTCTCTTATTCAAGCACCTGGTCTTTTCGTCTTTCAAGGCCCTGGTCATTTCACCTTTACCGGTTACGATATCAATGCTGGTGCAGAGGCTGGCGTTACTACGTACAATCACCAACCACGTCCAGGACCTAGCCCACCAAACCCACCGCCGGTCATCAAGCCGGGCAACAGCTATATTGTCAATGGTGCTCCGTGTGGAATTCCTCCTGGCATCGGCAAGGTGACCGTCAGTGGGGCATTGTGCTCCGATGATACAACGTTGACGTTCAAGCAAAGCGATTTGCTGTGTCCCTTGGGCTTTTACGTTGTGCTTACTGATGATCCTAACGCGGGAGGTTATGCGCCTCATTAAGGACTCGGTATTGATTGATGGGTATGATAGTCATAGGGGTGTTAGTTCAGTGTATAAATTTATCTCTATTCTTACAAAATTCAGCTGTGTCATTTGGTGCATAGTTCTTGTGATGTTCGGTACAGGGCCTCGGGTGAAAGAGCGGGGTTGTCCGACTGGCTATTGGCCTCAAATCTTTGCATGAGTGCGAACTTAGTCACTGACTCTTCGTGATTGTCCAGGAGGATATGTGTATCCCTGTGTCAAGTGCTTCCTGTATCGTTGACTTTATTGTAAAGCTGTACGACCGTTGGTCGGACGTCTCCGAGGTCCGGTTGCGCTTGCCAATGACGACACCCACTCGAATGCGCGAGAAAAGCGTACTAACCCCGACGATCTCTGCAGAGTCGAACACTGAAGTTGCGCAACTCTCTTTAATGGTTGCGCCATCATGTACATCCCTGCAACATGCTGTTCTTACTTGCCAAACCAGGTGCCGGATTCCGAGGCGCGTCTCCGACCTATGTTAGGTTTGTCAGCTGCCTATGATTTTGTCCAGATTCTGCTCCAACATCAAGATATAGCATAGAGACACGAGTTTTACCGGCTAGCGATGTAGAGCAGGAGCGCCAAGTCAAGCTCCATTTCCCCATTACTCTTTTCGAGTACAGTTCGTTTGTCGTAGCTTACTCGATCCGTCTCTGCACCCATACTTTCAGCACCAGACCGCAGGTACCTAGACAACCTTCAGAAACGCCATCTTACACCCCTCCCCGACACTCAATAACGGCGACATGACTGAACACTTCAAGGGAGCAACTTGGTTCTTCTTCGATCTCGACGACACTTTGCACGAGTTCCGCAAAGCATCTTCCGCCGCCGTCGAGGCGACGCTGCATATCATCGCAGAACAACACGCGAACCGTGAGACTACGCCCAGTCAACCGCTCATAGCCGCCGAGTTGAAGAAGGAATATATCAAGGTACTTAAAACCAAAACAGCAGCAGCATTCGTAGACGGCAAAACAAGCAATGAGTACCGTGCAGAGCGTTTCCAGAGTGTCATGGATACCTTTGATCTTAGATGTACAGAGCTGCAGATGCAGGTATTACTCGACACCTACGAAACAGCACTTACAAAACATCTGCAGCTCAAAGAAGGCGCGATATTACTACTGCAGGTTTTAAAGCAAAAAGGGAAAAGCATAGCCATTGTCACAGAAGGCCCCCAGGATTCGCAGGAACGTACTGTCGCTGCTTTGGGCTTAGAGCCATTTTATGACAGGCTGATCACGACGAATAAGCTTGGTGTGGCGAAGGTAGATGGGCTATTTGGCAAGGCGCTGGAGACTCTCAAAATAAGGAGTGGGGATGTAGTCATGGTAGGGGACAGCTGGGAAAGGGACATCATCCCTGCGGCGGAAGCAGGAATAGAATGTGTGTGGCTTGCTGAGAAAGAGCAGAACTATGGGACAACTTTGGATTTAAACGGTCAAGAGAAACACGTAGCTGTCACTGTGGTCAATTCACTGGGTAGATTGCAGAGTATTATGGAGGCTGAGTCAGGTTAGGCCAAATACTACGTAGGTTCCATCAGCTCGTGCCAAGATGAACTGATATGGATAAGCATGTCCCAAGGGTTGACACATCTCATCAATACATCACTGTAATGTGAAAATGTTACCGCGCATCCCGGCTGACATACCACATTGCCTCATGGCCATCACATCTCACCGTTCCTTGCGCCGCCACTTTCCCATCGTGCAACCCCGCGAACCTTTTGATCGCCTCATCGATGATGTCAACCATATCCTGGTTATTCATGTCAAACGAAAACTCGTGTGAGGTATTGGGAATGGCACCCATGCTAAAACCACAGGGCGCGTTGTGCATGTGCTGTTGGTAACCTTCTGGTTTGCCTTGTAGAAAGGTTAGCCTTGATGGAACTGAATAAACGTATATGAGACAAAGAGGGGTAGGAAAGTGGTGCTTCTACCTTCTAGATGAACGACCCACTCTCCAGCATCTTGGAAGATACTACTGCAAGCTTCCTAGCATTCCGTCGCGTTGGGTGGATTTTTGGCGGCCAGAGTAGTGTCTACGTATGTGAGTGTGTCGCAATGGCCCAAGGTGCTTTTGTCACCCGTGCAGAAGTTATAGTCTGGGGGAATTTGGGCTGCTGTGAGGGTGACAGCGAGGATGCTGAGGGATACGGATGAGGGTTTGCACATTCTGTTGGTGATATGACGCAGCATGGCGAACAGTATCGAGGAAAGTGTCGTAGATATGAAGAAGTCCTGAGAGAAGAGGTACGTAGTATTGACATGATGTCGCTTTCACGCATGAGCACTGTGGGTAGCAACACCAGGCACACCATGATAATGACCAAGCATTGGACGAAGCATGAGCTGATGTCAGAAATGAAACAAATATACGGAGAGAGCCATATATTGGCAGGGTTCTTTAGATTAAGCGACGAATCGGTTCAGTCACGGACATGTTCGTCGACCAACAAAAATACAACATCTATACACCCGCTGTTGCGGCGTAACTCATCCACAAATGCGTAAGCTGCATGAGCGCTTAAAAGCCCCTGATCAGCGCGTCGAGATGCTCTAACTATACCGTCCTTGCATATAGCTGGCGTGCGTACAGGATGTTTGGCTCAGGCTTTAGGGACCCGTGGACTATTTGGGACCTAACCGTTCGTTGTCTCTTTCAAGTTCTTACTGTTTTTCCATGCAATCGATCGTCTTCTGTACCTTCTGTGACCTGTCTTGGTGTTTCTCAGTCTGACCTTGCTACTTTTTAGCAACCGAAGTAAAATTACCAAATGGCTCGTATTTTCTAGATTCCTGTCTCGACACTTCTTCGGCAGCTCCAGTAACTCAGCGCTCTCATCACCATATCGGTCAATTATGTCATCCAAGCCCTCCTCAACCTTGGGAAATGTGGGCTAATCCTCATGCATATCTGTGCCGAACATCTCCTTGAGAGAGCTCTTGATGTTGTGTTGCGTGTCGTAGGTGTCCATAGTCCCAAACCTGAGTCTCCTTTCTTTGGCAACTTGATCGAGTTCACTAGCCCCATGCGACGCATTCTATAGCTCCTCCCTTGTTAGGTTCTTGGTGGTATTACTTCAAGGAACTCAGAAGATCTCAAGAAATGTAGACATTCTGTGGGAAGAGGTTTGATTTACTTCAAAAGTTATCTTTGTGCAATGTCTACACCGTCAACACAATGGAGAGTGAGGTACCTAGAAGCATACATCTACAACAAGACAGGTAACAACATCAAGATAACATTGACAAGCAATAGGGGGTATCCTAACACATCCAAACCGATCCACCTTAGCAGACGCCGCGCGATGCTTCCAAAAATGCAAGATAACTACAATCTCCCCATCTGACTAACCTCTCCAAACCCCACTCTAGCCCTGCCACCTCCCCTCCACCCCCTCTTCATTGCACTGCCCCCAGCAGCAACACTACCCCCAAATCCCCCTTCTCGTAACCTCCTTTCAAAACTCGTCACACCACCAACCCCAAGCTTGTTATCTCTACTGCTCTGTATAGGCGGCGCGCTCATAGTACCTAGTCGCGACCCTCTCTCCGGTTTCAGTAATGAGCCCAATGGCCGACGCACAGGAGATAGAACACGTTGTTTCTCAGGGCTAGCAGGTAGTTCAGGACGTTTGGCCCGGACGACGCTGCGTTTACTGGGTGTTTTGAGGTACCCTGGCTTACTGCTTGGAGGAGGTGGCATAGGTGTTCCGGACCAGAATGTCGACTGTGCGCCCTCGCCCAAGTCGAGGTCGGACTCGTCGTCTTCTATAATGGTGGCTGGCGGTGGCCGAACGGCGGATTGTGGTTGCGGATATGTGTTTGGTCGGCGCAGGATGGAGCCCGGCGGACGAGTCGATGCAGGAGAAGGACCAGGAGCGTAGGGTTTGGGGGTGAGGGTTGGCTGTCGTGGTGGTTGTTCTGGTGTGAGGGACAGGGAGAGGTCAAGATCGTTATCTAGACCTAGAGCGCTCTCATCGAAAGCTGTCCATGCCTCTAGTCGTTGGGTTTCGTCACCGGATGGCTGAAAGCCTTCTTCCTCGTGATCATTGTCACCATCGCGGGCATGGAAGTCTCCGTTGTTGCCATCGCCGTCATCGAGTCTTCGTACTCTCGACCTACTGGTAGGCGTTGGACTTGCAGGCCGATGGCCAAGCCGTTCAGTAGCCCGCTCTGCCCAGAAACGAACCATAGCTCTAACGTGCTTCTCAAAGTTTCTCTCAAACAACGCCCTGGCATTGTCTTCTTGTCTTTGGAAGTTCCAAAGTCGCCAGCCCATCTTCTTGAGAGCACCTGTAGCAGCAATCTCCATGCTTTCCTGCCGTAAAGCCATAGCTTGGTCTTCGAGTGTATGTATAAGGTCCAAGCGTTGAGACCAAATGGCAAAGTAACGAGCGGAAAGTCTGAATGCGTAGAGGCTCACGGCTTGAACATCCTGTTGGCGAAGTATGAGCGTATTGTCGTGCCATTGATGCATGATTGCGCCACTGGTCTGAAGAGTGCGGCTTTCGATCATGTCGTTTGCTCTTCGTGTCAGCACTGCAATGTGATTTGCCCTATCCCTCCAGTGCTCAAAGACTCTGCGCACAAGATTCGTTTTGACCGTTCTACGGACTTGGGAGTATGTGTCACGTCTGCGGTTGCGCCGTGCATGTTGAGTGGCTTGACTCCATGTCTTTAGTGTATGCTTGCTAAGAACATAGAAGCGCGCATCGGCAGACCATTGCTTCAACTCTTGAAAGTGCGCTAGCCTCTCCTTGAGTTTGTCGAATGTACGCTGCTTGATTTTTTGCTGATACTCGGCTATGATAGCGAATTGCTCCCGTCGCCTCTCCGTAGTGATGGCTTCCATTTTATGCAAGCATGTCCGCATTAGCTGAGCACGTTTGAACTGGGCGAACCGAATCTCCGCAGTATCAAGAGTGTTGACGCGCTGGTTGGTCTTGGTGACCCAGGATAGAAATATTGACTCTTTGAGCTGCCGATTATGAACACGTTGGAAGAGGGATACTCGAGATGCCAAAGTCCATTTGTACAAGCACTCAACAATGACGCGGTCGTTGATCCGATCTTCCAGTGCTTTGATACGCAGTCTGTCGTTCCAGGCAGTGTAGGCGTTGCGTAACACGCGCATACGGTCGACATTGCGTGCTTGACGTGATAGCTGAGCGTCTTTACGCCAATCCTGAAACTTCGCACGAAGCAAGCGACCGTTGACACGCGCTTGGACCTGGCGTGATAGTGGCTCAAGCTGCGCCTGCTTCTGAAGTGTATGAAGTGCCGTTGAGAGGAGGGACATACGTCGAAATTGGTCCGCTTGTGATTGCAGAGCATTTTCTCCCACTGTCTTCTGCTGCCACATCTGGAATGTCTTCCGCAGCAGCATCCCATCTCGTCGATCGGTTGCCCACGTGTTCCGCTCCGTCATGATCTCAGTAATCTCACGCCATTTTTGCAGTGTTGTTCTTGCCGTTCTTGTATCATGCCAGTTTGCTGCGCCTCTGTTGAGGTACTCATTGTTCAGGGCATTCCACGACTTCCTGACGATTTTCTCTTCATAATAGGATTCGGCAAACTGATCCCTATCACGCACTTCTGCTGCGCGTGTTCGCCATATACAGAGGAACTTGGCCAGAGCAAAGTGCTGGATCTTGAGCTCGTTAACTGCTGTGATGTCGCGCCACCCATTGAAGAATCGAGTGCGTAGAATGTGCCGTCGCGCGACTGATGTACGCTGCACCTCATCTTCCGCGCACTTTGCCCAATGTGTAAAGGCTTTGGTGAGCAGGAAGAGGCTGCGAGCCTTGTCTGCACGAGTTTCTAGCCGTTCAAAGAAGCGATTGGTCTCTCGACCAGAGCGCCTCACAAGCGCTGTGTCTCGTAGTTGCAGGAGCGAGGCTCTGAGCAAGACGCGACGATCGAAGGCGATGGCAGCTTTCTCCATGTCGTCACGCAGACTCATGCGCTCTTGTGTGCGATTACGCCATATTCCAAAACACTCTCTCTTTACCCTGTGTACTCGTTGATGTTCGAAAGTTTCCGCATCGTCCATCAGTCGGGTATCTGATAGTCGAAACGGTTCGGGAACATAGTGCTGATGTTGAGGTTGTTGCTCCGATTGTCGCAGGCGGCGCTGGTGCGGGGAGTCGTAAGGATCGTTAGGTATTGGCGCATTGACTCCTGGTATCTGGATGGAGGAGAGGTCGAGGCTCGCAGTGCGATCGGTGAAATCGCTCTCATCTGCATCGTGAGTGCCAGTTCTGTATGAGTGGGTAGGTCCACCTCTTCGGATTCGTAGACTGCCACGGCTCGAGACAGAAGCGCTGCGCTTGTGGACTGGTGGTTGCGGTCCAGAACTTGTGCGGCGAGGCGCAGTGCCATTCACTCTGGTACGGGCAGGGAGTTGTGCTGGTCGATATGAATGCGCTTCCGTGTCGGATGTGGCACGACGGTGGCCCCCCTTGTTTCCGTAGCCATTTGGCCCATGCTGCTGCGACGCTCTCCTCGGG